GTAGGTTATCCTCGCCCCCTCCTTTTCCCCCCCCCCCCCCCCCTTTGGCTGACCTCATGATTAGGCACTCAGGACAAAATTGGCCAGCGTGTTTGTTCTCTGAAGATTTTTGAGCCAATATCTTTCAGTTTTTAAGTCACCTAACTAAGCGCTGAAGTGGATTGGTTTTGCATTTCCTACTGATGCTTGTATTTATGTATTTAAGTATTCATGGGGGGATGTTGAAGGTCAAATTTGTTATCTTGCAGCTGACTGTAGTTGCTTTACTCTAGCATTGGGTTACAATGCAATGTTTCAGCACTTTATGCAGAGTATATTAGATGAAAAGGGAGTGCTGAGAGAATACTGTGCTAGAGGTACTCAGTGTAGTTAATATTCTCTTTTTTTTGGGGGGGGGGACACCTAAGATAACTGTATTAATTCTCTATACCTAGAAAATTTTTTAGTTGGATTACTGGCCAAATAGGGTAATAGCAACTAATAGTGTCTTTTTTTTTTTTTAAACTTTGTATTCCTCATGAGTCTGAGGGTGGGAAAAAACTGTTTATAGTATTTCACTAAGGAAAGACTAATTTTTGCATGAATAGAAGTTCTTCTCTCCTAGTTTCTGCTTTTTGCCTCTATCCTGTGTTTAAATATTTGCCATAGCCTTACTCGCAAGTACAGATATACAGTTCACAAGTAATTGTGTCCCTTTGGGGTGTTTGACTTGAAAGAACTGTCAAAGTGCGATCACGATGAACTTGGACTTGTGCAAACAAATACCGGAGCAGAGAGCTGCTACCTCAAAGAGCCTGTATCTTAAATAGCTGGAAAGATGGGGGATGGCAGCATTCTTTGAGGTTCTCTTTTTTTTTTTTTCCTTTTCTTTTTTCTTTTCTACCCACCTCAAAAAGAAAGAGTAAACTAAAGGGAGAACGCAGGAGGAGGACAGTGGGGAAATGGGGTACACAGATAATGCAAAGACTTAGCCAGCCAAGAAAGGACAATATAGGCAGAGCTCCCTCTAATGTGCGCCCTACCCAGCCCTTCGACCACTGGGTGCTTGACTGAGAACATCCTAGGCTAGTTGTCACTTTAGCTCTGTTTTGATTTTCAATATGTAATATTGTTATATCACTTGATGGTTTGTAATTTCCAAAGTAGAGAATTTTTAGTCTTTAACCCTGGCAATCAACCTCATTCTCTCTTCCCCCCCCCAACACCCCCCCCCCCCACACAACCAGTTATACTACTATGTAGTAAATTTTAGTCCTTTAATAATTGAAAGCTTCAAATTTTATGGATATTTAAATATATCTAAATGTATGGAAATTTAACATCACTCCAAGGAGGTAAAGTTGTTTTTTTTTTCCTGCTGCAATTAAATTTGCAAGTAAATAATTTGGGAGACAATTAGTTAATGAAAGGAAGCTGTGAATTATTCCATTTATATTTTTTATTTTTATGCTATGGCAAGAACTGTAAAGGAAAAGATCACCTGTTCACTTTTTTGGTCCTTGGATGATGTGAACCAACATGAAAAAATGAAGAGAAGAACAGTACTAACAAAGACTGAGAGTTATATGTAGAATAAGAGCTTATAAGTACTAGACACTTAATTGTATGCTCAGGAGAAAATAACTTGTTTTAGGTAGTTTTTTCTTTATAAGAAGATTGTTGATGTCAAGGAGTGTGAATATTTTATCTGAATATTTCAAGAGATACTACTGAGGGTGCTATTCATATTCTTATTTTCTACTTCCCTAAAGTGTAATCTTTTAGATTTAAGTGCCAAAATATGCCTGGTTGTTGATGCGTTAGAGCTTTGAATGAAATTTCAAGGGAATTGTATGCATCTGAGCCCTCTGCAGAGTTGGAGCAGAAGAACTGGCTTTTATAGGACTAGACTTGCTCTCTAAAAGACTTAACTTTAAGCAAGGCTGTAAATAAACAAAATCTGCTGAAATTCTCTTTTGCTTTTAATTCTTAGTATACTTCAATTGTAAACACTCTCCTCTCCTGAGTAAATATGTTTTGCGTTGCTTTTTTTATTACAGATCTAATGGAGAAGTTGTTTCTCTTCGACCAAAATCTGAAATTGAGCCAGTAGCAAAACCAAAGTTAGACTCTGAACAATTACCGGTTAGACCAAAGTCAGTAGAGGTAGATTCGCTTGTGGTAAAGAGCCCTAAAGAATCAGGTAAGAAAAGAATTAAAAATTTCTTTTGAGTCTTTCTTTTTAGATTGCAGTATTTTACAGGGTTAGAATAAGCTCTTTAAGCAATTTACTCAGAATGCCACAAAGTGTAATTACGCTTGTTCAAGAGAAAGTGTATTTTTAGAACTGCTGTAGGTAGCTCCTGCTAAGAGTCAGAAAACAATGTACAGATATTAGCAGGCTATTTGGAGATAAATTGATGAACACTATGGTGTAAACAGATAGGAGGAGGGGAAGAACACTTAATGGTTTGTTCTTCCAGTTTGAAAGCATGGTTTTTACTTTCATCTTGTGTTTTTATGAAATTATTTTCTTTTCCTTACTAATTGGTACAGTTTGCTCTTCTGCTCTTGCATTTCAGATACTCTTTGCATTTCTAGCTATCTACCATGTTTTTAATAATGTCGTTAACTATAGCATTCTGCAGTCAAATTCATAGCTACTGTAGGTTGCGACTTTATCATACCTTAAAATTTGGCCGTTGTGGTGTATTTTAGCTTTGAATTTCATGCTTATGGGGGGGAAAAAGCTGGTTTTGCTTAATGTACCTTGAGCTAAACCTAACCTCTATTTAAATGAAAATCTGTGCAGTGAAAAAACCTTATTGCTGGTTAAAGCAACCACATTTGTGGTCAGGCTCTCTGAGCTATTATGTAGATATATTTTGTCCTTTACTGACAGTGCAGCTGACTTCAATCTTCTACGTGCGTTTTATGCAGAGATTACCTGCTGTGGGTATTTTTTAAATCTCTAAAATATTTTTATTATGTGACTAACCGCTGCAGAAAAAACTTTAGTGCATTGTACCTGCAGTGTTTGGCTTATATATCTCAAATGCAACCTTTTATCTCAAAAAAGACTGTTTGAGAGTAACATATCTTGAAATTGTAGTGTAACTTGATTTTTTTGTTTTAGGCCAATTATGAAGAGGTAATATCCAGGATGTAGTATGGTTGTTACTAAAGTGTAATCAAATTAGGCTGTGAAACCAAAATAATGCATTTAAAAGTTGAAGCAATTTACGCATGGGAAGGGTGCTTCTGACTTTGCTGTTAAGAAACAGGACAAATTAAAGCGTACTTCTAAGCTTATATTATGGGAAAAGCTTATATATGGGAAAAGTTTAGCTCAGGTATATTTTTCATAAAGAAGCTCTATCTTTCTAAGCAGCAAGAAGTTGGTCTCTATGTCCTAAAGAATCCTGGAAATACTATAAATATTCATATTAATGCTGAATGTTCCCTGAAGTATTTAAAAATTCTTTTTTATTCCCCATTGAAACTTTGTGCTTTGATATGCCTTTCTCCTTTAAAGATTTTTGCATTGACAGTTTAGTAATTTCCTCTATTATTTAAATGTGTAGCTTGAGTGAGAATACAGAAGAAACACTTTCAGGCCAAAGTAAACAGTGAGATAAAAGATTGAGGCACGACTTAGCCTAAAAAATTTAAACTTTATCTTGTTACTGGGATATTTAGTTCTAGGATTGTGGTAGATGTGTCTGTATAGCATAGTATCACATATCACCAGGGAAAAAATCTTCATGAAAACAGATGGAATATGTCCTTTTCTTCAGGTACAGTTATTTTACATATTTAATAACCAGAGTGGCAATGTATTAGCTATGGCAGTAGATATTCATATATTAACTCACGCTTTTAATAGCCAGGTTGGGGGAAAATAAAAAAACAAAACACTCAGTAGCTGACATAGTACTGTTGGTGATTTGCAACCTTGTATTTTATTCAGATTATATTTTTAATAATTTATCAGGTTTAGTTCAAAATAGTTTATTTGCCTATATGGAATAAAACAGAGTGAGTATATAAGGCTTTACCTTGAGAATGTCAGCCTAACTTGCAGCACTTACCGAGAACAGAGGATGGAAACAGTCAAAGTGCAGAAATGCTGCTCTGAGTTTCAAGCCCCAGTCCTGCAATGGCCTCCCTGCAAAGTCGATAATCTGGCAAGGAATTACTTGCTGATCAGCAAATAAAAATTGCTGAATTTTTTCTGATGTAACTCTAGTTCTCTGCTGTTTGAAAGACCTATTAATATAATCATATATCAGCCTTGTTTGAAGCAAGTGTGCGGTCTGGCTTACTCCTTGTTCAGTGTGGAGCAAGCAAAGGAGCTGCAGCTTTTCAAGGAGCTGCTGTCTGAGGAAAATTTCAAGTCCTGTGTGGTATAAAACTGTCCTTGTTTCAAATGAGCTATATAAGTCACTTGACGTTTTTATCACTGTTACAAAAAGGATCTAGCCCAAACTCCTGCCAATAAAATTTAATGAGTCTCATGCTTTATTTCTGTGTAGGCATTCTGCTGCAAAGGACATAGTGCAGCAACCAGTGCTATATAAAGTTCTAACGATATCGGGTCTTTGTGTTAGGTTTATGACTGCTTAGTCTTATAAGAACTAGAATAGATATTAAATAAAATACGGGGAAAATGTATTGCTAACGTTGGCACTCTTGGATACTCTTGACCGCACTGAGTTACCAGAGTATTTTTTGGATTGAGTTCCTGAAGTAAACACATTTTTGGAAAATCAGTTTCTTTGTAAGTACTGGTTTATTTTTGCTGCTTAAAGTCTGAAAGTGCTTGTTAGAGGTCCAGCCACCTCAATTTCCTTAAAGGAACAACTGTAAATATTCTGTACCTATTGAAAATGAAACAGAACTTATCCCATTCATCCACTAAGGACAAGTACTCAAAAACATTCAGAATCATTGATCATGTTGAAATACCTCCTGTTGAAGCTTTATTTGAAAAACTGCAATAAATGTTTCTGTTTGGTTAGAATTAAAAAACCTGAAAGCTATAAAAGACCTAAAGCTGTAATACTAGTATGCTGAACATGTAAAGCAATTCTATTTCTTCTACAAATGTTTCTTTTTCCTGCTTTGTAAAATAATTTTTTTGTTCAGAATCTTTTTCTAGACATTCCTCTCCTTGACTTTTCTTTCCAGATTTTGTTTCCTATCCTGTTTGCCATGTTTCCCTTCTTACGTGTCAGGAAATTACCCTACCCTTCTCCATTTTGGTAAGATAACAATCTATAAGGAAATCCAAATGCTTTATGCCATACACATAGCTGCCTCTTAACATCATAAACGTAATTTTCAGTTGCAGTTATTGATACTAAAAAATTTTGGGTTTCAATTTAAAATGCTTTTTTGTTTGTTTGAATGCCTGTTTTCCTTAGCTATTAAGCAAGAATTTATTTTAATCAACTCTTCAATTAGGAATTGATCCAAGTCAAAAAAAAAAAAAAAAAAAAAGAAAAAAAGAGAGAGAAAGAGAAGAAAAACTTTCCTACAACCCAGCTATTTATAAGCCAAGTATAGTTTTTGTGTTCGATATTAATAGCACTTCTGGTGTATTTAGGTTGAGTGGCTTTACTTTATCTTTCTGTATACACAAGTTATGTAACTATGAAGTCTCTTTGCACTGAATTCTGTAGTGTTGGTTGTTTAGTGTTATGAGTCATGAAAAATGGTATTCGTAAAAGTTGTGCCAGGGTCATGCTGAATTGAAGTAAATAATCTTTTTTTTTTTTTTAACTTCAAATTTAAATATTCCTAAGCTTATATCTATCACCTAACTTTTATGGGGTATAGCCTCAGCAAGATGAGAAAGGATCTGATAGGAGATAGGTTGTAACCTGCTAGGTGTGTATGTGTGTGTTTAGTTTTTTATACACTTGTTGATAATATTTTGGAATATTAACCTCAATTTTTAAGCCCCAGCAGCATCTAAAGCATTAGAGCCATAATTTCTTTAGTGACCCCTTTAGCTTTTCTTCTTTTTGTTAAGGTGTTTTTTTGACAAACTGGTATGAATACCTGAAGTGTTCATAAGGTTACTAACAAAACCTCTTATGTTACAATTGTCAGGAGCTTTTTAAGAGACATAGTTATGTATGAATCTAGGTTAAGGTTGCAGAAGAGAGGTTTCTAACAGTCTGTCTTTAGCAACCATTTCAGGTGAGTTTATCTTTCTTTTTTTGAAGAGAGAAAGAGAACCTTTCTCAGCTTTGGTCTTTTTTTTTGAACTCAGATTATCTACAGATGTGAGATTACTTTTTTTTTGACACTGTGGTGGGATTTGCATTGGTTACTTGCAGGCTGTTTGTAAGAGTTGATTGCTATGTTTTATTGATTGACATGGAGGTAAATTGTGAAACTGAAATGGTTTTCATCAGGGACCCACTGTCCCCATTGATTTCAGTGGAGCCAGGATTTCTACTAGTATTAGTAAGAAAGATGCAACACTTCTTCCCCCCGTCTCACCAGCACCCTGTGCCTTCTCTATACCAAGGCAACAAAAGGGAAAGATAAACAGGGAAGTGCAAATAGAGAGAATTCCCTCTGTCTGTCATGTGCTGACAATATTTTATGCTGAGCAATTTACTCAGATGTGGCAGTTTTCATATGTAAGAGCCTCTAAGAGGGGAAAAAAGAGTGGTCTTAGTATCATCCCACCATCTGTATTTTTAATCATAGATAGTTACAGTCTTGAATCATATACATGTCCTCAAGTGTTGTGGGTAAAAAAAAAACAAAAACTTTTTTCTCCTGTATATGGACATTATTCTTAATATGTCCACGACTGATGATGATCTTGCTCACAGAGACAAGGACTGGCATTACAACCGTAATAGTAACTCAATTTCTGATCCTTATTTAAATTTACTGCTGAATAAATTGTCACTTCTGCAGAACGACAAAAGGAGGATTGTTTAAAAGCAAAAATGATGAAGGTGCAAAAAAGATATAAATATTTTTCCTGCTGTCTTGTTACCTTTTTTAAATAATAAATAACTAAGCCCTGATTTTGTTTTTGGCATGGATTAATGGTCTGTCGCTAGAAGATCAAATGAAGAACATGAAAATATCTCCCTGGATCACTGTTGCAGAACTTTCAACAAGTTAAATAATTTATTGGCACAGTCTACAACAGAAAAACTTTCATAGTCATCTCTTCTGCTTCATCCTTTCTTCCATCAGCCCCTTGCCATCCATCACTCCTCTGTTTCTTCCTACTTTTGTTTTTCTTCGCTGCTTTTTTAAATTGCAAATAGGGATACACGTTTACAGAAGACGGTCTTTATATACTCTAATAAAACTGAAAAGTAGCAAGGCTTGATGAGTAACTGACAGTGTTATAAATACTTGTGGTTCAACAAAAAAACAGATAATGAAGTAGATTGGTCCAGGTATGTCTTGAAAGGCGTGAATATCTTAAGGACTTAAATGGTAGTAATACAGAGTAGTAAAGAGACTGAAAACAGACAAAGCATTTAGTGAAAAACTTAGTTTCTACAGGTATAAAATAACTTTGACAATGCATGAACAAAACTTGTTTCAAGTGATCCAAACATAGAATTGGTACAAATAGCCTGGCCAGTGTTTCACAGCTTTTTTTTTTTTTTTTTTTTTTTTTTAAATCTAACCTCTTGCTATACCTTCAAGGATAATAAGGAAAGAGGGAAAGAAGTAGCAAACCTTCTGTTGGATGCATCATAACGCTTACGTAAAAATCAGAGCCTACAAACCAAAGAAAAATACCCTTGCATGCTATTTTTGGTGTCCGTTAAATGCCATGTGACACTTTAAACTTGTGGAATCTTTGGAATAAGTCAGGCGATTTTCAGAGCTGTAAATTCATATCTAATATTCTATAATCTTGTGTCAATACTTATTTAAAAAACGTAACTCATTGTGCATCTGTCAGGTAGGTAAGTATTAACTTATTTTTGTGGGAAAATTTCCATATGAGAGGTTAGGAAGCCCAGCTGTTAAACAGGTGAACTACTTGTGTTATGTTTTTGGCTAGATACAAATGTTTTATTCTATCTCTTAATAGATTTTCTTTTTTTCCTTAAGATTGTTTGTTCCTGTAGGATGCAATGAATTCTTACTAGAGGAATTTCCTCCTATAAGGAGGAAATAGATTGTGAAATAAAGCCAGATTTCATCCAGCAGGGATTTTGCATATGCTTAAGAGCATAAAGAGACTATTCAGAAAAATAGATCGCTAGGTCTTAATAAAGTATGAGAATGAATTTCTGAAATGTTTTATTACAGACTGTATGGAGGCTTGCATTTGCTGTAGACAAGTACCGCATCTGAAAACAACCAATACTGTGTAGAAATATTTCCAGTTAATAACTTGTTAACTTACCTTGCATGAACCTGTGGAAATACAATTTATCATGTTGCTTATGTTTTCGTGTTTGTAAGTAGTTGAAAATGGCATGTCTCTAAATTGTTCTTAAATTTCCTGGAAAGCAGTCATACATCAATATTCCCCAAATATTTGTCAGGCCTCCTATGCTGCCATCTTACTATAGTACTTCTCTGTTGAAAGCATGAATTTAAATGCTCATTGTATCAACTCTTAGGTTTTTTTCAGAGAGAGAATGTGGTTTTCCAGATATGTTCAAATCATTTAGTTGTTTCATACAGTTTGTATTATGTGCGCTGAAGATCTTTGAAACAATAAACATTCTGATAAATAAAAGTAACACATGACAAGATTCTGATCTTGATGGTGGTCTGTGTTTGATCTTTTTCTAGATCTATTAAGTTTTGATGACTTAATAGCTACCTCAGATAATCTATCACACCCTACTGCAAGCAGACCCAAGATGCCTGGCAGGAGGTTGCCTACACGTTTCAATGGCAGTAATTCTGTGAGTACACTGGCTGTATTTTTCCAGAAGTAAACTGAGAACTATCTTCCCTGTAAAGAGGATTGCACCGAGAAACAGTCTGGTGAACCATTTACCTGAGAGTGAAATGTAAGGTGCAGGAAGAGGTTAATTTCCTATAGATCTTATCTATAGGAATTTTCATTCACAAATCGAAGGATTATATGTAACAGAATGAAGATGATTGTACTACAGCTGAAGGAGTCTGCTTTCTGTTCTGTGAGGTTTTACTGTGGTGAATTCTCAGCTCTTCCAGAAGCACTGATGATGAAATGCCTTAAAGCATACCATTATATAGTCTTCACCCCAATAGAGTTGTCACTTAATGTGTTGCTGTTAAGTTGGGCTCACGATCTTGTATTCTAAGACGTGAGATCATCAGACTGTGAGAACAAGGTGATGCAAAATCCTTGACATAGAATTAATATCTTCTTAACATTTTATAGTTTCATCATGCCAGTTACCATCTACAGTTATTGCTTATTAATGTATGTGCATTATGAAGGTACCTACAGGCTTCCAACAGCATCAAGGACTCCTTCTGTTAAGTAATGCAGAAATGCTTACAAATGCTGTCCAAAATTCCTATGCATGATTTAAATTCTATTGAATGAATTGCCAGGGAATTGAGACCCTAAGTGGAAGGGAAAGAAAGTCACAATAGTCTAGGAATGTAAGGTTTGTCCATCATATCTCAGAAGCAGTTCTTGTTTTTTCTCTCGTGGAAAATAAAAATATTTTGTATGAATGGTTTATTTAGCAGCCGAGTCAAAATGCGAGTCCAGAGAAAACGTTGAAGGTGCAGAAAGAAGAAGAAGAAAGTGCCAAACCAAAGCCATTTGAAACGAGAAAGGTATGCTACCAGAGGAGCTAGAGAGGTACCAGGCAGCTGGTTGTTCTGTTCTTCTTATCTGTATTTACAAAATGGCTTGATGCAGCCATCTAAATGTAAATGATTGTATTTAAATGCAAGTGAACCATGTCAGCTGATATAAAGCTTCTGATGAGAATTGTGGTGTTGGGTGGCACAAAACTGTTACCATTTCTGAATGAGCTTCATGTCTATCTACCCTTTAGTCTTCCTACATGTAGAACAAATGCACAGGTCAGAAGAGTGCACAAAAGATTGCTTATAGTCAACTAAAGAGCTCCATTAAATCACAGGTTTTTAAAATGTAGAGAACTGCAGTGCAAGTAGGTTTTGAAATGTCTGATATTTGCATGAGGTTCCTGTATAGAGTATAACTCTTTTATATATTACACTAGTCCATTTGAACTGGATATTCCTTTTTTGCCATTCCTATATTTTAAGTTGGCTAGAAAATTAAGGAAAATTGTGTGCATCTAACTAAATGGTAATTGCTAAAAGGTATATACAAGATTACAAGATGATCACATACCAGTACAACTCACACTCTTAAGTGGCCAGTTTGTGAAGGTTTCATTTTCTTAGCTTTCTGCCTACTTATTTTTTCAGCCATCTGCATTCACTCCACCACTTCCATCTTCATCTCAGAGATCAAACTCTGTTATACTCAACTTTTCTCCTGGAGAAATTAAACTTAAAGGAGAAACAGATGATGGAAAAACTTCTGTAGAAGAGCTGAGGACTCAGATTAATGAATTGATGAGTTTAGTAGACGCACTGAAAAAAGAACATGGGTAAATATTTTCCTTCTCAATCTGCTAATGAATATATATTAACATTTTCGAAATATGTTTAATGCCAATTTTTTTAAGATAAAACTTTTCTATATTAATATATTTATTATAAATTCAGTGCTTCTTTGTGTAGTTAATTCAAGCTGGTATCCTAAATGTGTACTGATTTGATGCCAAAGTATTTCGGGGGGGGAGGGGGGAATTTGTACACAATTTTTTTTCCTTTCTACCTTGTGTTCCTTCATTTGTGGTTAGATGAATTATCTAAAGTTTGGATCCAGATTTGAACACGCAGAAAATTCCAGGTCGTTTCAGTTCAACCTCCTGTGTAAATGTAAACACTGTAAAAATGCTGCTTTTTTAGCCTACTTAATATTGCATTCAAAAGTTAGAGATAGCTGCGTGGTGATCAGCAAGAGGTGTTGAGGAGCTTCCGGTCAAAAGCATTTGAGAAACAGTTCATGTAATTATATACAAAGACTTAATTAAAAGGTGTCACTTCAGACCTTTGCTATGTGAATTCCTCTTGTAAAATTTGAATAGCACCTGTGCTTCCAGAGCTCAATAACACGAAAGCTTTTATCTAATTTGTGTTGTATTTCTGCTGTCTTAACAATTATTAGGAAAGAACTGGAAAAACTAAAGAAAGATTTGGAAGAAGAGAAGGTGATGCGAAGTAATCTGGAGGTAATACTAGTTCATATATACGTATATAATATATGTGTATATATATTTTATATATTTGTATATATAAATTCTATGAAAATGTGTACAGCGTTCTAGAATTTGATGCCTTTGTTTAGTTGGAAAATAGTTCTTAATATTTTGAGTGCTAGAGTGTGAGTTCAGTCTGTCACTGATTCTGCTCTAGGCTAGAAATATGCCACACTTGGATATGCTCCAAGAGAACAGGTTAAATTTGTTCTTCAACTTTTACAAAGGCAAAATACTAGTTTATATATATAGATGGGGAGAAAAATCAGAAGTTGTCAACTTTTTTCTTAATTTTGGATGAGCTATGTAAGTATTAAGAGGACGGTTCAAACTAATTCAAAGAGTGCAGTGTCTTTAGTGATGTGTATGCAGAGTAGAATGTATCCGAAGAGTAAGTTTCCTTACAAATGAACTGCACGCCCCTCAATTTTTGATGAAAAAGGCTATCTGCATTGCATTAAGATATGATGTTATTAAATGATTAACAGGATGAGTTCGTTATAGAGAACTCTTTCAGTCAGGTACAAAAGGATATTGTATTTGTAAAATAGAATTTGTATTGACTTCATAGCTACTTTCAAAAATTGGGAAGAAGCTGTGGCAAGTTCTGTTTTTAGCGTGTCTCTATAGCAAACAATGAAGTTGCCTTAAATATGCACCAAGAATGAAGAGAAAATAACTTTCATGTATCTTACAAACCATGTGAAGAGATTAATTTAAGCATGGCACAATATTTTGTATGAAGCCTACTTTAGAAAGCTAGTCTGAGATGATACATCATTGTGCAGAACATGTTAAGTAATCCAGAAATGAGCTTTAAGTGGTTACCTTATTCAGAATGAGTTTATTCAATAAGATGTATCAGAAATACAGGTGAATTTTGATTATTTTAAATCCTTGGTTTAAATATAATACAGCAGTATGACCTGTAAATGTTGAGCTTTTGGAGTTTATAATTTTAGTGAAAGATTTGAAGACTTTCAAGTTACTCCTACCTAAATATTGACCCTTTTCAAATGTCTATTTTCCAGCTTGAAATAGAAAAATTGAAGAAAGCAGTGATGTCTACATGAGACAGCAATGGACTCGATTTCATTAACTCACCAGGAATTCAAAGCTGAACACAAGTAGAACTGATTTTCTTATTTCATAATAATGGATGCTGGTGTTCTACAGTCTTAAAATATATAGTAAAAAAGGAATATAGTCTTTTATTCAGAGAGATAAAACAAAATAATGGTGTAATTTTTTTGCCAATATAAAAGAGGCCTTATTTCTTACTGTGCTGGAATTGCAGACCTTTATTTTTTGGTTTGCTTGAAAATACTACTGAATCTGTATAAAAAGCAGAAGGAATTCTTAATAGATTTTTATTGAGTACCTGTAGCTTAATTTTTAAAGAGATCTATACTATAAATAGGGTGATCTATCTTTACAAGTAATCTGTAACATAGTCTACTGGAAGGGATGGAATAGCCGTATAGTAATTTAGTCTCTACTTTCCCCCTACGTGCAAAAGGGAATATATGATATTTGTATATTTTTACATTTTGACAGTCTTACCCAGGGTTATGCTGTTGTGCCTGTCTGCAGTGAGAATATTAATAATATGCTGTTTATAAGTTGAGTAATGAGATAGGAATTCATTAATACAATGAAGCAGGTGAAACACCTATGCATTGTAATATGAATGAATGATCTAGTCAGAACAGTTTAACAGAACGTTTTGTCACTTGCACTATTGGATTAAAAAGGGATTTGGGATTGAATCATGAAGTTACAATGGGATTAATTTTTAAAATCACAAAATGCAAGAAATATAGAAACAAGGCTAGAGTCCATTCTTAACTCAACCTGTTGTGCCTAGAATATTACAGCACACAAAGTGAAAAGTGAACTTTAACTCTCAATTTCTGTGCTTCTGTGTATCTGAAATGAATACTCAGTCTTTTAGTGGTTAAATTTACATTTTGATCTGTTTTTACACGGGTCAGTTTTTGTTAATATGACTCCAAATAAATCCTTTACGACTCTGATACTCTGAAGGTCTCAATATGTATATATTTATGCCATAAACTTTCTCAGTATGTTGTGTGCCTCTAAATTTAATAACATCTTTCTATTTTAATTATTAATTGGAACAGGTGCTTGGATGCCATTGTGTTGGTATCCAAGACTGTCACATATTCTTTATGGAAAGCATTTGAAGTCTTGTGGATTGCCATTATCTTTAACCTCTGAGATCAACACAGTGCACAAGAATAATATAAAAATAGCAAAGTGATGGGAGAAAAAATTACTTTTATCGCTGTGTTTAGCTGTTAAAGCGTTACAAAACATACAGTTTTAGAAAGCCAATCAAATGCATTGCTTCAGTTAGCAGCAGCCTTGCCTCCCTTTGGTCTAGCAAAAGTGTGCCACACAGGTTGACAAGTCCACTAGTGAGAAAAATAATTAGGTTTCTATTCATGGGAATAGCCGTAAATATAGTAATTATTTAGTACGTCACTTAAGCAGGTGACGTGAAAGTGTTATTCTTCAGAGTATGCTTTTTCTACAACTGATGCATCATAAAAAGCAAACATCAAAAAGTCAATTGGAAGATGTCTGCCAGTTACTGACTTACATTTTTAATAAAAATTGGATAATAATGCACTGTGCAGGTGTTATGTTTGCTAGTAACATCATAAGCTGGTTCTATATTAATGCTTTTAACTTCTAATTGCATAGATGCATCACAAATGAAGACTTCCGTCAGATCTTTATATTGAGGAATAAAGTGTGGCAGCAGTACTTCTGTCGGTCACTAAACTTTTAGAGCTTTTACCTGATGATGAAAAGCAAGAATTGAGCCTAATGGAATAGAAAGTCTTGTTATACAAGCTATTCACTGTGACCAGAGCATAAAACAGGTCTTGTAACGGGTTGCTCTACTGAAATTGTGTCTGTGCTTACGCTTGTAGCAGATGAGCAGAACAAGACAATCAGTTAAAACCACAAATGAAAGGTGTAAATTATTTAATGGCCTTTTTTCGCTATAGCAATAAATGACCCAAGTGCAATGACTTCATTTACCTTTTTTAAAAGTCGCTGCTATGAATATTTTTAGCCATAACGAAGTTGCTCTGATACAAGTCTGTCTTTCAGCTAGTGTTATGGACTGGAGTGGAGGGGAAGAGGGTAATGATTTTGAAGACATTCCACCGTACAAGTTCCTAAAAGCAGTATGCTTCACTGACTTGTTTACCAATGCTGTAAAATGACGCATGCTATCCAAACCCAGCAAATAAAATAAATTTAAAAACCTGTTGAAATGTCTGCTTGCTTATGTTCAGGAATTTAACAACATAAAAAAAAATATATTTCTTACAGCAGAAGTTTGGAAAAGCTGCAGTGCATGTTATTTCTGTAGTCCTTCTTGAGGCTTTCAAACTTGAATTCACTCACTGGAATGCTGTGATTTCTGACTGTCAGGGTAACTAATCAAGCAGCTGAAATGCTTAATGTTTTTCTTTAAATCTAGCAAGTGTGACTAGGAGTCTTAACTTCTCAGTAACTGCTTTCCTTTTGTTCCTTTCTCCTTTTCATTTTTATTAGTCTGAACTGAATGGACTTTTCTGTGCATCTTCAGAACTTCTTTGGACACCTGTTGCCACTCGATAACGTGGATGAACACTAGTTAATTTAAGTATACATAATTTGTGCCTAGGATCTGTCTTATCTGGGGCTAAAAACTAAACAGATCTTTTGAGCCTAATTGTTTTGGGGCTTGACAAACCAGCTTTCTAAGGATGAAATTTTTCCTCGAGGGAATATTCTAAACAGTTCAAATGACAGCATCTTTAAATCACTTAAATACATAGCAAAGGACAATCTGTGTCCGAGGAGCTTGGAGTCTAAAGGCTAATATGACCTGCTTAAAGGGGTAGAGTGGATGAGGGCAAAGGCAAACAAGGGCAAGACAATGAACAGGCATTTTCAAACTACAAGCTCTTTTATTCAGTTTTCATAACATTCTTTAGAAAGCTTTTGTTTGAATACTAAGTACAGTTTTGGAAAAATGTACAGATCTGTTTACGCTTCTACTTAAACAATCAACACTAAGATAATATTTTTCATTAATGTTTTTCTAGAGGAGTGAAATTTCTGATGAAAGCTTTAATGTGTTGTAAGGTTTGACTTTGCGTTGTTTAGCAAAGTATCTGCTGAACTTGTGAATACTTTGTATTCATTAAAGTCCTATCGTAACAGAAGTCTTTTAAACCTTTCAAAGGGAAATAGTAAAATCTGTTTTTCACAGCTACCTCACTTTTGGCTGTTCCTAAAGTTCTCTAAGAAATTACTGACTGATGACTGTTTACTTTCTCAGAGCTGTATCAAAGCAGCTGCTTGTACGTCTTGGGAAATTGGATTTCACAAGTGCTGAAAAGACAAAACCACTCCCTTTTGGGTGCTTAGGCACATAACTCCCATCTTTAAAAATGCAAACAGCCTTGAGGAAACTTGTGAAGCATGAGACTGATGCTGCTGTGTTCAAGGGAGCACTCACCTTGTGTGTGGGGAAACTGTGGTTTGGGTAGCCTACTAAGCCCCAGAGAATTCAGGTTTATACCTCTTCCTTTCTGGGGGAAGCATGTGTGTGTGTCTGAGTGTATGCCAGCCTTTTGTGTCCATCAGAGGAATATTGCTTAGGTTGAGAGGGTGCTTGACAATTGAGGGATGTTCAGTCTTGGCATCATAGCGGAGGTCCTGAATATATGTAGAGGCACACCTCCAGGTGCTTATAAAAATAACAATTAAAAAAAAAACTTTTAAAACAGATGTCCATACCTTGACATGGTCTGGTCTTTGGTGTTTACTTCTGACTTAAAGGGTTGGTAAGATGCCACCTTTTTATTCATCTCTGCCTGTTATCATATGAAGTGCAAGTGGCTTTCCCTCTCCAGCCCCGTTCTTTTATCTGCATCTTGTGCTTGACTCAATTCCTACTTGATACCAATGTCAGATGCAAGGCCTAATTGTATCAAAAGTGAGCAGTAAATAATACCTACCTTTAGGCCAAAACTGAGATACCTACCTTGCGGCTGAGGATTTACTTAAGTTGTGATAGCACAAAAAACATTAATCCAAGAAACCCCATCAGCTCATGACAAACACATTGCAGGATTGTGGAAAAAGTGACCAGAGTTCTTCAGAGTTCTTCTAATATGTTTCTGTGAGTGGACAGAGCAGTAGAAATTGCTTTTTTGATATGCTAAACGACTTACAGTAAACTGTCGATTATCGGAAATCCTCAGAAAGTAAGAATGATTGTGAGCCAATATCAGGAGAGACAACACTGAATGTGGCACCAGGTTCATCAGACAAGCTCTAGCCCCCTTTCTGTGGATGTAGCCCATAAGAAAGATATTGTAATTTGCTTGCTGAACTTTTTAGGTGCATAGAGGACAAGATACCATCAGTAGTGTCATCTTTGATTTATGAAGATTAATGCATTAACCTGACTTAAACGTTGATCATGGCTTCTTTTTTTTCCCTCCAAAGTTTAGATGATCTTTTAAATACAGAGGAGCAGAGATGCTTCCTCCACTGGGAGGAAAAAGTACAAACCACATAGGAGTTCCACACATAAATAAGTCGTGTCTGGCAAAGGTGGGAATCGGGCAGTTGTGCAGGTGTGTTTGCAACTTGTTTTGTCAATCTGCTATGCAATAACACCTCAAGATTCCTCAGGGCTAATCCAGTTGGACAAGAAAAAGGTAGGCTGATGCCCAAGGTGTTTCCTTCTGGGAAAACTCTAAACAAATCAGAGCACAGGCAATGCTGGGTGAGACCATAAGAGTGAAACCAGAGCAAGATGGCAGCAAATGAATGGTTAGATACTCATCTGTGGTATCTTGGGGTTCTTTGGCTGTGTTAATTTTGCTTATGGTAGAACCCAAGCTTCTAGAAAAGGTGAGTACCATAACAAATATGCCTTTTCAGTACAGGAATTGAAGGAGTTTGTGAAATTGGTTTGTTTGCAATCTAAATATATCTAATTACTTGGACTAGGTTTATTTTGCATTTATTGTCTCATTTTTATATTCCTTCCTATGTCTATGGAAATAATTAGGCTTCTTAATTATTCTCTGATCTTTTCACTTGTAATTTTGTAATTGGTTTATAATCACAGTGTCGTCACTTCTAAGAAAATCCAAACTCTTCTTGTAGATAATATTATTCTAAAGATCACTTTCTTCTCACAAAACTTTCTGTATTTAAACTCAAACGTGAGCTATTTAGAAATATAACTAGTGCCACTCAAGCTTCTGTATAATAAAGAGCTTTAACTTCTATCCTCAAATGAACATATTAATGTGGAGAATTCTTAAGGCTCCTACTGCAGAATTTTAACTTTATGTAGCAGGTAGCAATTTAAGTGATCAAATTATGGTGGCTTGCATACTGTTAAACTATCTGGATTTTAAGGTAACCATACAGCCATTCAAGCCGTAAAAATAATAAATTAGCTTCTGTAACAAAGCATGTAATAGTAAGAATGAAGTTAAATACACCCTTGCAAGTCTGCAAGTTTTCAGGGAATGATTTATTTGTATACCTGAATATGACAAGCCCAATGTGAAGTTTCGTGTTTTGTACAGCACACATTTGTAATTTCTATGTGAGATACCTTTTCCCATAAATTTCACTCGATTTAGTCTTCTAGGGTAGTCAAGAGGGGAAAATTGTAACGCCTGGTGTTGCAGAACCCTCTGGCCAGAGACCTTGGCTCCACCAATCTGAGGGTGTAATTTCCACAAGTGTTGCTCCTTGGGCCGAGTCCTCTAGTTACTGTGATTACTCTAGGTCAGACTGCTTTGCAATACATTCTTTCAGAAGTTGAGAGCAAGAAAATGTGCTCAAGAATTGAGGGGAGGAGGGGTAATTCTTAGGGTTTTCCCGAGACACTTCCATTTTAAGCCGACAAATGTCAACAGAATAAGAACTTTGAATTTAAGGCTATGTTACAGTAACCCACTTGCTTTTTAAGTAAATGATCAGTTCACCTTTCTTCTATTTTAAGAGGTTCTTTTCTCTCCCCTAACCATTATCCCACCCAGCTATTCATTTCCCGTCTCCCCTTCCTCCTCTTGAGGCCTATGCCTCCCTGGGTTGCCAAAAGCTAAATTATGTTAGTTGGTGAAGGAGGATAAGCAGCTAGTAACAATCTTCTGGGTTGGGTAGAAGATACTGGGAGAATGGAAGTATTCTCTGAGTGGCAAGTCTCTTCCACATGAGAGGTTTTTTTGGCAGCTCAGCTGCTTTTGTGCCTCTGCCCTGATGGGGCATAAACCTCTGGAAGAGAGTAGAGTAGAAGTAACATTTTTACTGTGTGGTGTTTTTTTTTTTTTTGTCAAAATTAATAACCTAGTACTTCTGCCGCTGCCCTTCTAATGTGATTCCCAGCAAAAAAGGATGAATTAAGGTTGCAAGTTGTCCTTCATCTAGAGGACAGTTTCCCAAAAGGAAATGTCAATTTACTATAACTTCCAATTGTGTCACCTTGAATCAACAACTCATTTGCTCTTACAGACCTTTCTCAAATAAATTTGCAGTGCCTGAAATTGGACCAGAAGATCACTGTTTCTGATACCCTGCATTCACACTATGTGTTTCTATTAATGGCATTAAATGATTTAGCTGCTCCATCTGAAGAAACTTTGGGGGGCAGGGAGGAGGAGAGGGCAGGGGTAGAGAGGAATAGATGTATATACTTTCATATGGGCTCATGTCAATATATGCATGTTCTTTCCCTAAAGCGACTATGAGTTGCTGCTATGTTGCTTGTTTTACTTTAAGTGTGTATTGCTGCATAGTGGTTATTTCAGTGTGTTCTTAAGGTGGTGAGACTCTGGGTGGTTTCATGATGAGTCAAGCAATGCAACTAAACTAGGTTAGTGTTTCACAGGTAGATGAGTCATTATCTAAAGAAGTCTTATGTACCTAGACCTTTCCCAGATTTTTACCTCACTTAAAGATAACAGCCCAAGGTGGGGTTGGGTTAGTGATTACATATAAAATGAATATGAATTACTAATGATGAAAACATGATGAGATCAAGGATTCCCAGGTGTGAAATGGAATTAGGGCTGAGAATAAGCAATAAATATTTAAAATTTAAATCAGAAGACAATTCAATACAATTCTGTTTCCTAAAATCTGTAGGTATTTCGTGGCTACATCTTGTACTTGTCTGGTTCTCTTATCATTATCAATTTTATTTCCTTAGAAGAGCTGATGATCACTAGCTTTAAAACCAGGAAGC